ACAGAAACATTCTATTGTTTAAATAGATCTGCAGATAGTCAGTTGACATGTCAATAGACAGTCAACCTTCCACTTGTTAACATCACTCAACTCTTGATTGACAGATGTCACTAACACTCTGCCAACTCTATCATCTCTTGGTTGACTCCTGTAACCAAATTCTATCCTCTCCACTCAAATATTAACTTATATTCTCCAGCCCTTTAGAAGGGACTTTTTGTGGTTGTCATCAAATATTCATTTATGTCAAAGACTGCTCTTTTCAGTTTTTTTTTCTTGTCATTTTTTAAATGACAGCCATTTGAGCTATACCCTCGCTGTATCAACATGTGAGCACAGGTAAAAGAGAATCTTCTTTCTTGTCCCCTGAGGGTAATGGGAGGGGCTAGGAGTTGATTGCCATTCCAGCAAAACTATGGTCAACAATACACATATACCACCAAAAGTCCATGAATACACCACCACCAACGCTAAATTAATACGCTGCCTACCGCTGATCATGTTTTGTTGGAGGTGCCAACAATGTCTACTAACGTGCCAACCAAGCATCAACCAATAGAGGCCACTGATGGTCTACCAACTTAAATAACATGGAAACCCATAATCCGCCAACTCTTGGTTGACATGTTGTGTGATAGAGTTCACCAACAGATGCCTTAAGTATACATGATGCAGAAGTTTAATCTACCTTTAGAAAACTAAGTTGCAATGGATAGTCAAGTATATGTGATAGGTAAGTCCACCAACCTTCATCCAGTTGCAGGCTAAGTGCAAAGATTTGAATAAAATATGTGGGTCTTGCTCCCACAATTCCCCATTCATACAGTCTTGGCACATACCATTTCTTTTTATTTTATCTTGTTTCTTGTCCCAGATATAGTTAAATATGGCTTTCTAAATTCTAGAAGTAGATGTGTGAGCTGATGTCCAACATAGATGCCAAGTAAGAAATTTGCAAAATTCCCAAGCTATTAACAATAAGGCACAAGTGCCCCCAGTTTTCAAAACATACTGTCTTTCAATTGTTGTTATCATGGTTGCCAGGTAGCTGACCGAAAATTAAAATTGTTATTACCTCAAATTGAAATCAGCATTATTACCAATTGATATAATACCGAGCAGCAATGATTCAAAAACAACGTACTGACTTTAAAGAGGTGTACGAAATGAATAATAAGGATTTTTCGCGTCTCTAGTTTTATTTCTCAAAAAAAAAAATTGTGCCGCAGTGTATTTGTCATCTTTAACTGTCAAGCTTTGTATTTCTATCAAAATGAGAGTCAAACCTTTCCGATTCACCGATGATATTGAACGTTTCTTTTTCCGATATACAAAGGGTCAAATATTTTCCAGTTAATTTCAAATTCAGACTCAGGTCAAAAGGATATCGATCAATAATAAAAAGCAAATAAGAGCCACCCTCTCACCTGCAATTTCCCTGAGAGCAAGCAGCAGTATTTATTCTATAGGCACTCTCAACGTTATCTTTGATGACATTTTCTGGTTCAGTGTAATCAGCCCAGCCCCATGCTTGCTTTAGAACATTTCCTTGTTGTTTCCGATTTGTTGTTCGACGCGCCATCTTGGATGTACTTTTCAATTCTTATTCCCGCGCTATGCGCACGCATCAGTAGGCGGGCAGCTGGTTCTTTCGCAGGCTCAGGTAATTTGTGAGACTGGTAAGTATCTGCCACTTAACTGTTTTCCAGCGTTTTCCAGAGTTTTGCGGCATACAAAGCTGAAATTGAGATACCTCGAGAATTTTTTCTTTCTGACTTTTTCTTGAGTTTTTGACGGACTGCGCCAAACTTGCAAAGAGGAAAGGGACCATTAACTCACACAAGTTTTCCTTCGCTGATAGATTGGGACACAAAATGGGCATGAAAAATAGCTAAAATCTGCTCGCATAGGCGAACAACGAGCGTGAGGCGGGCGCGGAGTGGCGATACACGCTCGTGTCTCCATAGACTACGAGCAGCCCCTTCTTTTCGGTGAAGTCCGTCGCGCGAGTAAAAAAAATAAAAATAAATGCGAGCGCAGGCGCGCGCCTCACTCAAGGAGCTCTTGCGGCGCATCGGCGTCACTCCAAGGTTCCCTGCGGCGCGCTATTGACAACTACTTTTCTGACCCTTTTTTAACTCACGCGACGGACTTCGCCGAAAAGGAGGGACTGTTCGTAGTCATGGGCTCCTGTCGTTGTCTAGTCTAGTGTCTCTGAGAAAACGACGCCTGGTCTAGTCTGCAGGGTAACAAAGATTACTCAAAGTATGATTACTTCATATAACATTCACTTCCTATTCTCTATGCGTATCAAAATTTCTTACAGTGTATTCCGAAAAACAGACTCAGGACGAGGTTTCTTTTAACACATATCGTGCCCGAACTCTTCAGGAGTGTGTGACAAAGCGTGACATTGCTCGAAAGAGCGTGACGTAATTACAATGCGGACAAAATGTGACCTGACGCGCGTAATTGTTTGGCTGTATCTTACCGGATCAACACGTCCTGGAACTGTTGACATTAATTGGCAGAGACTTGATTTTGAGTAATCCGCAATCTTAATGAAATGTGACAATCAATCTGGCAAACGACACGCTAGAGGTAGATTTGAAGAACAGCAAGATGTCGCTAAATGCGGGTGGATATCGAGCGAGCGATTTAAGTCGAGAAATGACTCTAAGAAATGCCAGCGAGAATCGAAGATTAGCTGGGCATCTTCAACATCTTGATCTTCAGCTACAACAGAATCTTGTCAATATGCAGGCCGAGATTTTGGACTTAAAGCAATCGCGCAAAGGAACATTAGTCGCCAGACATCAGCGGCCTAAAGGATCATTTGGGAGAACGGTCCGCAATCCTAGACAAGGTAAAGATCGTCAAAACCGTTCGGGATCTCGACTGGTTTCGCCGCTCACAATACAGGGAAATAGTAAAGAAATTTCACAACCATTTTTGCCTCAAATCAGCACGGAAAACAGAGCTTTAGTTGGCAAACAGGATTTCGGTGTCGAAACCAGACTAAACTCATCGAATAGTCGCGCAGGCTCTCGGCGTGCGCGGGAGCTATCATCTGATAATTACTTGCTGTCAAGTAATCTATACAGGCCAAAATCATCACCAAATCTAAACGAAAACCCAGAACGCAGCAAAGACACAAACAGGCCTTGTCCTGATTCAAGTAGAGGAACTAAATTTCGACCTCTTGAGAAATCATATAAAAAGTTGGTGAGTCAAAGTTCTGATGAATTATCAACGACATCATTGGAGCTTAATGACCGTGTGAGCGATTTTTTAAAGAGACCTAATACGAGATTGGGCGAGCAAGGAATAAACGAAGAGAATGGGCTAAAACAGACAGGAAGTGATGCAATTCCAACGATTAATATCGAAGATCAAAGTGAACCTTGCGAATGGGAACTCGAGGCAAACTCCAAAGCGGAAAATCAAGGCGCATATGAAAACGATGAGGGATTTTTGTCAGACGAAGAACTATTCAGAAACTCGCTACTTTTAAGAGCTGATCGAGATGACGGTCTCTCCCGATCAATGCCAGATTTATCTAGTCTTGGATTCATGGATTTTAACGAGGTTATCGATCAACGTTTGCGAAAGCTGCAAGAAGAATTGCCATCGAAGGAAGAAATGCGGAAAGTACGCTATCTGAGATTTCGGGATGAACCAACTCCGCCATCTCTTTTGTCAGTTTTTAACAAAGGCAGTGTTGGAGAATTGGATAAAATTGATGAGTAGAAACTTTGATATTGATCATGTAACAGTTTGGTGCGAAACATCCTTTACACATCGATTTCTTGATGAGGACCATGATGAACTTAATTGAATTTATGCAAAAATAGAAGACCACATAGTGCGTTATATGGTCTAATTCAATTTATTGTTGCATGTTAAGTCTCTGTTATTGTGTTTTGATAAGCTAGCTTACTTGCCTACTTAGAGCAACAATAAAATTCGACGCCTTTGTAAAGTTTGAAAGTGGCACATGGAAAATTTTATCCTTCTGAATTGATCTCTAAATTTGACACATCTTTTAAAGACTTGCGATGATGTAGTAGAAGGAAGTCTTTCGCATTAGTAGAAAACCCACGCAGAAAATTAAATTGAATGGAAATTACGCAATTTTTGGGAATGTTTTAAATAGTCTTCTGTAAGTGTCCAAACAACTTTGTCCTTGACGATCCTGGAATTACGAAAGATTCGAAAACGAGGAATACCGAAAATTCCGTGGCACTTCATCCTAAACTTGCTAACCCCTAAATCTTCTGTCGCACGTTGCTGCAGGATAACAATAAAGTTTTGAAAAGCTTTTAAAATATTTGCGAATGCTTTTCTTTCTACTTGAGAAAATATATTCACGCAAGAGAGCTTGCTTTGTTTCAAGAAGGTTAATAAACAGGCAAATTTTCTGTAATCAAAGCCTGTTATTAGAATGTCAATTTGTCTGACCTGAAGTCACTCCTGTGACGTCAAGGTTGGATCAATGAGATCACTGTCTGACTTCGGCTTCAGTGCGCGAATTGCGACATAAACCTAATTATAAGAAATATTCCTCGGGCTTTGAATGGATTTCTAATTTTTTTTTTCGTTTTACTTTTTACTTTTGCATTTCCTACGGAGACCTTGAGAGAATGAGTTTTTTTTTTTTTTTTTTAGAGCAAGAAAATTGTTTTTGAAGATCCGAGCCATCGGAGAGGTTAAAGGACGCCCGGTATTTGATGTCGCTGTACTTGTCTGATTCTCTCAAATTTTTCATGGCCAGGTTCAGAGACCCGCTTGCATGTTTTCCTTCTGAAACTGTTTATAAAAATAGTTTCATACTAATAATAATAAAGAGTATTTCTATAGCGCACAACTCCAATAAATTGCGCGTGGCGCTTTACAACAAATAAAAATAAATTATCAACAAACTACATTTGCTAACATTCACTAACAAACATTTTTAAAAGATAAGTTTTCAAAACGCTTTTAAAAATGTAAACAGAAAA